TCGAGTTGCGTCCGACGTAACCCAAAATAAAAATTGAAGTTACCGTATGTAATCGAAAATAGGTCGAACCCTATTTATTGGATCCACCAAGAACAAAAAAAAATGCAAATATAGGTCGACCTTTTTTTTATTTTTAAGAACAGGGGAAATTTTGGACAAAAGAAAGAAAAAAACCTTTCTTTACATCACTCTTAGCTAAATCACGGGGCGATGCCAAAAACTTCATCACCGTCAGAACTTCTGGACATGTTATCATCGTCCGAAGCTTCGTCAGCTGGGTAGACATCCTCGTAAATTCGCAGCAATACTTCACTGACACCGTTGTAAAATGACGACAAGAAACGAAAAAAGGTGCGAAGCGACCGAAGACAAACTACAAAGACGCAAGCAAAGCCGCCGTGTCGCCATGAGCAACACGCGAGCCGAGCTGCCTCAAGCAACTAACAAAAAAACCATCTTTTCTTTTTTTTTCTTTCTTTTTTTTTGTGCGCGTTTGCGAGGATGGAGGGTAAAGTGCATGGCGCATCGCGTTCCTCTCCTTACCCGTTGCCCAGCAAGGGCAACGCTAGAGGCGCGATGTCGTAATCCGACGCCCGAGGGGTGCACGCGATATCGGCACCGGCCACCGCGGGCGGCCAGCCATTTCGGTTACCAAAAGCTTTTTGAAACAAGAAGCGGCGCGGCCCTACGGCAACGCCGGCTCGGTGACTCGATAGCTTCATGCCTCCGGTAGGGTCGCAAAATTTGGTCGCGAATGTAAGTGTCGAAATTCTTTAATCACAATTTCCGAAAAAAAAAAATGTCGACTTATATTCGAATAAACACGGCAGTCAGCCACGCGACGAGACACACATTATGAAAGCGATTGGTGCGAGCGACCAAGGCGATGAGCGACGTTTTCTAGAAGCCCAAAAACCGAGCGGCGCAAGCAGCGAGAGTGAGAAATCTTCGGCGCTCGGCGCCAGCTCTCGTAGCTTCTCGCCGTCGCTCGTCTCGTTGATCGCTATATTGCTAACATGCCGTTCAGAAAGGCGCTCTAAGTGTTTACCATCACATCGGGACCAGCCTCGCATCCAACCGTAACCAGTCTTGACTTTTTTTTTTTTTTAGCCGCCCAGGTAGAAGTTAACATCGTACATACACCGTTTTCAAGCATGGCTCCCCGTTCATTGCTCGATTTACATTTTCGGCAAATGACCGCAATGAAGCACAATTATTCTAGTTCAAAATTGTCACGAACACTTGGCACGCATGCTTATACTGTAGCGCACCTAACGTAATTTAAAAGTAGAACGAAAACGGGACGAGATTCGCTTACCGCTTCACGCATCCTAGGCCTTCGGCTCCTAGGCCTAACGGCCGTACCACTTGGAAGTCGCCTGCGGTCCGGCGATCGGACGAGTCGAGCCGGCCTGACGCAGGCTGACCACGCCTGGTTGAACTATGAGAGGCGCGGTCCAGTTGAGAGCCATAGACGCAGTAGAAACGGACCGCAAAACATCTGTCCCGTAACCGTAAACGAGCCAACGACCCCCCACACCGCTCTATCTTCGCCATCTCCGCGACGACCGGAAGTGGAAGCCGCGAAGTTAGAAAAGCCGCGGCAGCGGAAGCCACTGGGCGGAAGCTTTAAGTTTCGGTTTCGCTTTTCTCCAACGCAGGCTACTGTCGCTACGGTTTCGGGCTGGTGGGTTTGTCGGGTTTGTGGCTGGTTGCGACGACGCGAGGGGCCACGAAAAGACGCCAAGTTGGCCGAGTACGAGTCACGGCCCACGATACGAGCAACGGGCCGTTTGCCGCTGTCGACCGGCGATGCGGTATCCGCGGCTTGGTGTCACGATCGGTTTGTTGCCGTGCACGTTGACTCAAATTCGAAGTTATGCAGTTCCGTTCCGGCACCAGCCGCACCACGTTTTCCGGTGCATCGCACGTGGAGGCCTTTCGACGCATTCAGTGAACGTAAAGTTCGTGCCCGCTGTCTTCGGTGCTGTGGAAGAAGTTGGGAGACGGAAGGCGTTTAGGGCTCCAGGCCGGGCGGCCGGTTCACTCTGAACGAGAGGCGACGTGTGTGTGCACGTTTTGAGGAAGCCTCCGCGTTTCGCCGCGCTAGACCTCGCCGATCGCGACCGGACCAACCGGACCCCGAGTCCGAGAGGCTCTTGCGGAGTCAGGAACTGCACCGAGGTAGGAGCCGCTCGTTCTGCGCTACCATGCAGTGCTGTGCAGTGCTCGGAGCTCTCGGTGTCATTCGTGGTTGCACTGAAGCCTTTGTGACCCCTTCGGACGCGCAAGTCGTACTTCGCAAAGGTTTGGACGGGGCCGCCCTCACCGAGCAGCTCCGCTATATTCCGCTTACTTATGATCGCAATAAAAGCTTGCGTTCTCGGGAAAAAAATTGCGGGACCGCTCTCCGCGCCGCCGACGAGGTTGGCAGCCGCCATGTTCTCAGCTGTTCACTCGCTCCCGCAGCGAGCGCCTTCCGATAATCCTCCCCGTTCCAAAATGCGATGCGCTTTGCGCACATGCCGTTTACATGACCGGATATTGAATGCGGCAACTGGATTCAATGCGACTAAGTCGCATTCGTGTAAACGTGGCTTATGTTCTTTTTCGACATGTATGGTGTATGTAACGATAGCGGTGGTGAACGATGGACGTTTTTGTTGGAAGATGGCGGTCGTCTTTCTCCATGTATGATTTGGTTATACCGGTGGTCCTGTGGTATAAGCGTTTTGTTGGAAAGACGGCAGCACCTACGTCATCGGACGCAAAATCATACCAGCCACACCGAATCATATCGGCAAGCAAAGTGGCTGCCAGTATAGACAGACCCGGAGCCATAGCGGTGCCGGTATCTCCAGTTATGCAGAACGCCAAACCAAACTAGCTGCATGCATAACACAAAGAAATTATGGTGGTGTCGTACCAGAACTGTACAAGCAGCAGGTTTTTTTCTTGTACGTTTTTCCAATAGGGACAGCCAAAGAACCACCAGTAACTATCCTAAGCATTCAGGAAGTATGCCGTAATTTGTTTAGACTTTCTGGGCGGCCCCTTTTTAATAAAATTCTTTCTCGCAAAGGGACGAACTTTCTTCGAACATTAAATTTCGTGCCCCTATTAATCCCTGAACAAGCACACTGGGTTCAGGACATTCATAAGCCACCATGGAAGCTACCATTACTATACGTCCACATGAACATTCCAGGCATGGAAACAAAAGCATCGGTAAATACACACGTTGCAAGGACATTGACCCTTGCACATCTACAGGAAAGATACGACGACAACATCCACGTGTATACCGACGGATCAACCAAGGATCAAGGATCAACATCAGCATTTGTGGTACTCCAGTTCAACCATTCGTCATCCTTTCCGTTGTCACATCATACTTCTTCAACTACCGCAGAATTGCATGCTTTACTCGCGGCTGCAATATACATCAAAAATAGCTCGACAGCGAATTTCTGGGTTATATGTACGGACTCCAAGCCAGCACTACAATCCATTAATACCCTGAACACTCGCAACGAAAATATGGCTCTTGTGTACCGAATTTGTGAAGAACTTGGGGAAGCAACAAGGGTTGGACATACGGTACATCTTCATTGGGTTCCTGGACATAGCGGTATTTTAGGAAACACCCAAGCTGACCAAGTGGCTACGGATGCATATACAAGCAACAACGTCCAGCTCACACCTTTTACAAAAAGCGATGCCAAGCGGTACATTCGTTGTCTGAGAAACATGATGTCCCCTGACACGTGGCTCAAGAGCATCTCGGAACAGAGCCTACTCCTTCTAATTGATCCAGACCTTCGGTGCCCAGTCCATAATTACTTGAGCAGACTTATTGAAACACTAATTCATCGCCTACGACTAAATGTTGCGTACACCGGCAAATTTCTTTACCGAATTCGACAGGTGGAAACACCGAGCTGCAGGTGTGGCCACCCCGTGGAAGACGTCGAGCACATAGTAATGGACTGTCCCAGATACGACCAGTGGCGAACTCGATTACGAGTGGGACTAAGCATACTCGACAATCGCTCTTTTTCTTTGGCCAAAGTTTTAGGACCTTGGCCCGACTTAAAAAGCCAGAAGAGGGCATCAGCTTTACTACGTGATTTTTTTACTGACACAAAGATAGTTTACAGATATTAGGTATCATACGAATGTCAAAACACCCACAACGCGCCCTTAAAAGATAAGTGCGTTTTTTTTATAGTAAGTTTATTACTATGTTACAGTAATCTATTGTACATATGTACAAATGTATTTATTGCGTAATCGCTTCTCTCACCGTGTATTTTGTTTGTTCGTGTACGGCAACTGAGAGTATTATTCATGGTGTTATCATTTTATATTTGGATGTTATACATCATTCATACTGTATGTGGTGATTTTGGGGTCAACAAGGTGGGAGCAAGAAAATGAAGAAGAGAAAGAGACAAGAGCGAGCAGTTTACACTAGAAAAGAGACTGAGACGAGAGACGAAGAGGAAGTACAAAACGTTCTCGGGACGGACAAGGCAATCATCAAGCTCACGGGGGCGAAGGCTTGCAGCTATACGCAAGGTCTTCACCCCACGTCGAAGTCTTGCAGCTTTACGCAAGACCTCGTTCCGCCAAGACGGCACAACCAAACCCGGACTCCGCCGCTGCACCAGCAACGAGGAAATGAACTCTGATGAAGCTCGCCGCATCTGTGAACTGTAAGACTTCCATTAGTATATCGTTTCTTTTTTTTCCCCTTTCCTTTTTGTACTTATGTTATTCGCACTTATATCTTGTGCTTTTCGTTTTAATCATTGTATTACCTGTCGAAATCTAAAGTTTATTTTTCTTTCTATCAAACTGGTCTCGATATCCTTTCTCTTCGCGTCGCATACCTGCGAGAGTGAAATAGTCCACTACATTTCTGGCGTCCGCGACAGGACTGCTTTTAATTTCCACCTCAAAGAGCTCCAACTCGCTAGTGTCCGCGTCGGTTGAGAATGGATCTTGAGAAGTTAACGGTAATTGGTAAAGAATTGGGTTTCTCAGGGGCTTCGCTAAAGCAATGGATAGACGAAGAACGCGCACGCGAAAGAGAGGAGCGTCTAACAGAGCGAGAAAGGGCTCGAGAAGTAGAAGCTCAAACGAGTGCTCGTTTAGAAGCAGAACGCACTGTGCTAGAGCTGAAGTTGCGGTTACAAGAGCAGCAAGGAGGATCGATCACTCGGGTTCCAGATGCATCTGATCAGGGTACGTCTCCTAGTGTCGCGCAGGGGTATCGGAGTCCACATAAACTTATACCCCCCTTTAACGAAAGGAGCGATGAATTGGATGCATACATCCAACGTTTTGAGCGGGTGGCAACAAGTCAAGAATGGCCTCGGGAAAAATGGGCCTTGTCCTTGAGCCTATGTTTGAAAGGGGAAGCGTTAAGTGTAGTAGGACGCATGGCTGCCGACGATGCCATGGACTATGCTAAACTAAAGCAGACTCTCCTCCAACGATTTCGCTATATTGAGGAAGGATATCGTGTCAAGTTCAGAGAGGCGAAACCAGAGAACTCCGAAACGGGAAGACAATTTTCTGGTCGTCTATTAGGTTATTTTGACCACTGGCAGGAGATGGCAAGGACGGAGCGCACTAATTGCGCACTTCGGGACAAAATTGTCTCCGAAGAATTTCTGAACAAATGCCACGAGAAACTAGCAATTTTTATAAAGGAAAGGGGCTGCCAAGGGCTCGACAAGCTAGCAGAAACTGCAGACCACTACCTCGAGGCCCAGGGGTTGGTCAACCTCGGCAAAAAGAAAGAAGAGACTGACAAGCCGACAGGGCAAGTTAGGATGTCTGATCCTCAAGGTGCAAAGAGAAATCTGCAGTGCTTCCTTTGCAATAAACAAGGCCATCGGGCAGCAGACTGTTGGGCCAAATCAAGAGGACCCGATCAGAAGACGAATTTCTGCTGGAAATGTCGCAAAAACGGGCATAAAGCTGAGGCTTGTCCGAAGAAGACAGACGGTGGTGGACAGGCGTCATGTTCTCTGACACGTCGGAAAGATCGTAATGTCTACGGATCTGGAAGTCGTCCATCCAAACGCCTTGCTGGGAAAGCTGAAGAGGACAAAACGGGAACTGACGTGCAAGCAGACGGCATGCCCACGGCAACAGGACTACTCGAGGGTCATCAGGTCACCGTCCTGCGAGATTCTGGGTGTAACTCGGTCATAGTCAAGCGGTCCCTGGTTCCTGACGTCAAACTTACAGGACGAAACCGCGTTATCTTCCTGCTTGACCGGACAGAATTGTGTCTGCCTGAAGCGGTGGTTGACATTGATTCCCCCTATTTCCAAGGCAAGGTGACAGCGACCTGTATGGAAAACCCTCTCTATGATGTCGTTTTAGGAAACGTGGATGGTGTGCGGGATGCCTCCGATCCTAACGTTATATGGAGTATTCAGCAAGACACGCCTCTTCAAGGAGAGGGGACAGCTCCAGTTATTGAGGCAAGCGACTGTGGCAGGTCAATAACTGAACCAGTTCTCATTGAGACGGGCCTTTCATCGGCTGCCACAGAGCCAAACGAGTCACAGGCCGGGGCCGCAGCTAAGCAGGCCTCCCGAAACTCTGGTAAATTACCTGTGGCGGTAGTGAATTCATTGGCCATCAACTCGACGGAGCTGAGCGCCAAGCAGAGAGAAGACAGTACTCTCCAAAGATGTTTTGAAGCGGTTGGGAACAAAGTTGCTACAAGATCAGCTGACATTGAGTTCACACTAATCAACGGAATTTTGTTTCGACGGTACAAATTGCCATCAAAGAAGGAGATGGAGCAGCTCGTTGTTCCAAGCGATCTCCGGGACTTTGTGCTGAAAATGGCACACGAGGGAATTCTCGCTGGACACCAGGGAATTAAACGCACGACAGATAGAATCCTCGAGGAGTTCTACTGGCCAGGAGTTCAAGGAGACGTTACTCGATTTGTAAAGTCGTGCGACACCTGCCAGAGAACTGTCCCAAAGCACCTAGTAGGCCGCGTACCTTTGGGCAACATGCCAGTCATCGAAACACCATTCCAGCGGGTCGCCATCGACATTGTGGGACCCCTATCTCCAACATCTGAGAAGGGAAACCGCTATGTACTCACCATGGTTGACTTCGCGACGCGCTACCCTGATGTGGTTGCGTTGCCAAGCATTGAAACGGAGAAAGTCGCCGAGGCTTTACTAGAGATGTTTTCACTTGTGGGATTTCCCAGAGAAATCATTAGCGATCGCGGCAGATCGTTCATGTCTGGGCTCATGAGGGAGTTCAGCCGGTTGCTTTCGCTTAAACATATGCCAACCACGCCGTACCATCCTATGGCAAACGGCCTTGTGGAACGTTTTAACGGCACGCTGAAACAAATGGTCCGACGAATGTGTCAGGAAAGCCCCAAGAGCTGGGACAGATACTTGGCACCACTGTTATTTGCATATCGCGAAGTGCCACAGACCTCCCTCGGGTTCGCACCTTTTGACCTACTGTACGGTAGATACGTCAGAGGACCCATGGCCATATTAAAAGAGCTCTGGTCAGGGGAGAGTATCGACGACGAGACAAAGACTTCGTACGGCTACATGGTCGAGCTTCGGAAGCGCTTAGACGACACGTGCCGGATAGCCCAAGAGCAGCTCAAGAAAGCAAAGATGACACAGAAAACCTATTATGACAAGAAGACAAGGAGGCGCCAGCTCACTGTTGGAGACAGGGTCCTGCTCCTTTTGCCATCTGACACCAACAAGCTGATCCTGACCTGGAAAGGCCCCTTCACTGTCTTAGAGAGACGAAATGACGTTGACTACGTCATCGACCTTGGAACAAGAACCAGCTTGTTCCATATCAACATGCTGAAAAAGTACGAAGAGAGGACAATCGTTGATCAGACACCTCAACGAGCTTCGGTCGCATTCCATGATGGGAATGTTGAGGAAGAAGACCTCCCGTGTGCAACACTGCAACCAAACGAAACTTATCGAGACGTGAACATATCAAGGGAGCTGACTGCCGATCAACGAGCACAAGTTTCCAGACTCCTGACAACATACCAAGAAAGTCTGTCAGATGTCCCAGGAAGGACCCACCTAGTAGAGTGCAAGTTGAAAGTCACGACCGACACTCCTATTCAAGTCCATACCATTCTCCATCCAAGAAAAGGTACAGGAGGAAGTAAAAGAAATGCTACAACGGGGCATCATTGAGCCCTCCGAGTCACCTTATCAAGCACCCATCGTGATGGTAAAGAAAAAAGACGGGACAATGCGACTCTGCATTGACTTCAGACAACTTAACAAGGTCCTGATTCCCGACAGTGAACCTATCCCAAGAGTGGACATGATGTTTGCAAAGTTGGGAAAAAGCCGGTACTTCTCGAAGTTTGACTTCTCTAAAGGATACTGGCAGGTTCCGATGCACGAAGATTCAAAGCACATGACAGCTTTTTCTTCCACGTCTGGATTTTATCAGTTTCGATTTATGCCCTTTGGCATCAAAACAGCACCAGCTGTATTCACCCGGCTTATGAGAAAAGTGGTCCAGGGGGTCTCGAACATCTACCACTACTTTGATGATGTCCTCATCGCCACGGAGTGCTGGGAGGAGCATTTAACGACTCTGGAGTTGTTCTTCCAGCGCGTGAAGCAGGCGGGTTTGACAATCCGTCCCACAAAGAGCGAAATTGGTTTCGCATCTGTCAAGTTTCTTGGCCACATCGTTGGACATGGTCTCCTGCGCCCTCAAGTCGAGACCCTGGAGAAAGTTCAAGCTACCAATCGACCCGAAACAAAAAAGGAAGTGCGATCTTTCCTTGGCCTTACGGGCTACTATAGGGATTTCGTACCCCAGTACTCTGAAATCTCTCACCCACTTACGGAGTTGACACGTAAAAGAGCACCAAACAAGGTGCATTGGGGGAAGAGCGAACAGGCGTCTTTTGACAAACTAAAAGGACTACTGTCCAGCCAGCCCATCTTAAAAGCCCCAGAATTATCAGAACCTTTCGTGTTGCGCACCGATGCTTCGTCGAGAAGTATTGGAGCCGTACTCATGCAGCGCCATAATGATGTGCTTCACCCCGTATCGTACGCAAGTCGTCGACTGCTGCCACGTGAAGCTGCCTACTCGACAGTGGAACGAGAAGCACTAGCCATTACTTGGGCGGTTAAGAAGTTTCACGTGTTCTTATTTGGACGACCATTCATTCTGCAAAGTGATCATCAGCCCCTCGTTTACATCAATTCTGCAAAGCATGTAAACAGTCGCGTATTACGTTGGAGCCTAATGCTGATGGAATATGACTTTACTGTTGAGTACATTAAGGGTAGTAACAACGTGGGCGCTGATTCCATGAGCCGCATGTCTGTTGCTGAATAAGATTTTTTTTTTTGTAAAGGAACAATATCACGAATTTACTGAATTTTTGGAATTGTATGTGTGCCCGGCGGTGCTTATTAAGTGACTTTTGTAAATGTATGTACTTTTGTGTCTGTCAAAAGTGATGTGTTTTCAATGTGCATTGTGTTGTGATAGACTGCGAACAATATGACTTCAACGTGCTAGAAGTTGTTTCAGCTGAACAACATTCTCAAGTGGGGGGTGATTGTGGTGATTTTGGGGTCAACAAGGTGGGAGCAAGAAAATGAAGAAGAGAAAGAGACAAGAGCGAGCAGTTTACACTAGAAAAGAGACTGAGACGAGAGACGAAGAGGAAGTACAAAACGTTCTCGGGACGGACAAGGCAATCATCAAGCTCACGGGGGCGAAGGCTTGCAGCTATACGCAAGGTCTTCACCCCACGTCGAAGTCTTGCAGCTTTACGCAAGACCTCGTTCCGCCAAGACGGCACAACCAAACCCGGACTCCGCCGCTGCACCAGCAACGAGGAAATGAACTCTGATGAAGCTCGCCGCATCTGTGAACTGTAAGACTTCCATTAGTATATCGTTTCTTTTTTTTCCCCTTTCCTTTTTGTACTAATGTCATTCGCGCTTATATCTTGTGCTTTTCGTTTTAATCATTGTATTACCTGTCGAAATCTAAAGTTTATTTTTCTTTCTATCAAACTGGTCTCGATATCCTTTCTCTTCGCATCGCATACCTGCGAGAGTGAAATAGTCCACTACACTGTACATTACTTGATCTGAAGTAGCTGGTCCCAGGATATGGGACCAAACTCTTCAACTCATCAAATAAACATTGAATTGAATTGAAATCACCATTTCCCCGTTAATAAGAAATTACATGTCCACCCTCTATCACAAAAACGACTGTCATCCTTGGCCCCTCAAAGTTCAACTTTCATATTGCATTGCCTTCCTCTCTGCAAGAAAAAAACAAAATAAAGGGGAAGAAACAATTTTCTGGCTAGGGACTCTGATGCGTCGTAAGAACAAGGAAAATGTACAATACTGGAGGTTTCCAAACACACTCTTCGTGGCATCCTTCTCTGACAGTTGGCTCGTATTTGTGAAAAGCGAAAATTGTCGCCGATTTGCAAAGCTCCGAGGCACAGAATGTCAAGTTTTGATGTGTGGACCCTTTCCAAACGTTTCTGAAACTGATTGCCCGGTTAAAAGGGCTTAGCCAACACAATCCAATCCGACGATCATGATCAATGGCACGCCATAAAGTTCTAAACTTTGGCGGCAGACGACGAGGAAGCAGTCTCAAATGCCAGGTGCAGTCGTTACGGAGTTGATGACGCTCATTTTACGAGCACCCTTGTCAACAACATTTGCGTATTTTAGATCGGAGCGCCCAATAAAAACTTTATTCCTAGTGCTTCCAAGTTTACGCTCAGACAGCTTGCAACTGCTGACATCTGAAAAGGATTAATAGCATCGAACAAGCAACAGGTCTGGGACTCTTCTTCCAGCAAACTCCAGTTTGTTAAGTCTAAGCGCGTCCTACGTACGTTTAAACACGGTAAATTAAAGGCACCTGTGCAATTCTCTGCTGTTTCTGTTTTTTTTTGCGACCCATCTCTGCTCGCACGTTTCTTTTAAACGACACATCAGATCTCTTTCGTTTGCACTTGGTACAGTAGTTTTGTGGCGTCGGCTAAGAACTCTTGCCTTGCGCCGTTTTCTTGTCTGTAAGATGGTCTCCAAAAAGACTCAGCAAATGCTCAGGGTGGGGCTGTCTTCGTTCCGCCGTGACAGAGATTCGCTGCGCTCTTGTCGTCCTCGAGAGCCCTCTTGCCGCCTCATTGGCCCGAGCACCGCGGCAACACTTGAGAAAGGGGGACTGGCTCGTCGGCCTTTAGTCGGGCCGATGGATGGCCAACTTGGGGATGAATTCGACGAGCAGCATCTGGTTTCAGAACCAGGGGTAAGGGACCCTCATAATTTGCAAACTTAACTATTTTGTTTGTAAAAAAAATGGTTAGACAACAAGTCAAACTGTGAGCATCAGCAAAATTACATTGTTAATTTTGCGTTGCAAGACAAGCCACTCTTCGGAAGTTGTGTACATTGATTGCAGAAACATTTCATCACGAAAATGTCAGCAATGGCTGTCGGCTACAGTTTGGCTTATTAAGAAAGCCAATAGCCGACACTGACCAATAGCTAACACAGTAAGAATGTGTAATGGCTAACAAAGTAAGAATGTGTAAGCTTCACACCATTTCATTCGTAATACTAAGATTGATGTAATTGCCGTTAGACGAGAAGTATAAAATGATGATTTGATTCAAACTAACATTGCTTGAACATGGTTCTTAACCTGAGACTGGGGCAGAAAAGAGAACACAACATAAGGTAGTAAAAGAGGAGGCAACGTCTCAAATTGAGACGTTTCCTTCTCTTTTACCACCTTCTGCTGTGTTCTCTTTTCTGCCCCAGTCTCAGGTTTACAACCATGTTCAACTTACACCAGCACGCCTGCACTCTGACTATTTTAACATTGCTTGCTTTGTGTCGGATCAAAAGCCACTCTTGGAAGTAGATGCAAGTTAATTAAGGAAACATTTGGTCTAGAAAACGGCAACAACGGCTGCCGTTTCCTTGACCATCGCCACATTTGGCACCGGGCAATAGCGACATTCAGTGATCTCGTCAACTTTGCTGCCAGCCTGTGCAACAAAAGTCTGAGAGAACGGAAGAAATGTCTCGACGTCTTCACTTTCTCATTTATAAGATTTTTCTTTGAGCACTGCAGAAGTTGTGCTAGCCTCGCAGCCGTAGCACGAACAAGCTGACGCAGAGTAGTTTCAATAACTTGAGCCTATTTTCGATCGGAGGGTACTTGCGTATTCCATCATGCTGTTGGAATCGCACCACTTCTTTCCAAGCTTCCAATGTAGACCGACTTGAAACAAAACAACACGCTCGTTTACCGTTGAATAATCTGCAAGAGTTGGAGCAACAGTCCTGTGCCCCCATGGGAGGGTTTACGCCTAGCCTAAATAAATATGGCAGAAGCTCTTTTGGTGGAACTTTCACGGGCGGTTCTTTATAGATATGCAACTGAAACTTCACCGTTTCTTCAAAGTGGTATTCTAGTCATTCGATACGTGGAATTCCCATCAAGAGGAAGAGGCTAGTGCGATGCCTCGGATTTCAGTATGAAGAGATTGTACTGTAGCATGAATCGCCTTGATATGATGATGACATTACATACTGATAATACATCATATCATCGTATGATATTACGACTCTACAACCTGCTATCAGGTTGTGCACTTGTCGAAGGTGTATAGTGTGGATGCAAGACCGTCTGCGGCACTTACTTGCTTCAAAGAAGCAAGCGTTTGCACAAATTTCTCTGCGTTTCTGAAAATCGGAGCAGTCAGCAGATGATGTTGCTGCTATCATGACGAAACAGATGCAGTGTAGTGGACACCCCCCCCCCCCCCCTTTTGAATATTAAAAGGTGGAAGAAACCACAATGACAGAAAAATGTTCACACTGTGGTGTCTCTAGTTATAGGTCGGCATTTTCATGAACGAAACCTGCACACTTACTTTCTCAACAAGAACTTGGAGGCTAATTGTTTGTACAAACCCAACGAGGCAAAGATCTGATTTAGAAAAAGAAGCGAAACCGCCAGAATGTTGAACGTGATGTTCACATGGTCAGAACCTTGGCATAGATCACATTTGCTGCCCTCCCTCTAAATTAGAGTGACTAACTGTATGTGCTTGATGTGCAAAGCAGGCACGTCGAAGATGCGCGAGCTTTTCTGTTAAAAGTCTACCCATTATCGAGTAAAGCCAGCACGAAGAAAGTGTGACTGGGTTGACTACAGTGCAATCGACTTATAACGATAATAAAAAAAAACCAAAATTCATTCGTCATAACATATCGTTGTATCTGGACTAAAAGCTGGGCGTTTCTAGTCTTGAAACTCTAGAAACTGACCGTTATAAGCAGTACATCGAGATATCTGGTATCGTTAGGAGTGGATTTCACTGTACTACACAGATTCTCCTACCAATTGCCATTGTTTGCTGAACAGGAATTTGATGTTCGTTTAATTACAGAGCCCATTTTTGCAGCCGAACTCTTAGGAGAAAACCGTAGTGAAGAGCAGTCATGAAAAAGAGTCACAAAGGACTGTTACGTCACCTGACGCCATGACATGGTGATATCATGACGGCGTCGTTTCGTCACAGCTCGCAGAATTTTGTGCCCCCCCCCCCCCAGTCCTTGTCGGCATGATCAAGCAATTCATTGTTTCACCTCAACTGCAGACACATCCGACACTTTGGGCTGATGAGATCTAGCAGGCAGTGTCAGACGCGCACCATCATGGTGCTTATCTTGTTTATGTATGCGTTCTATCATCTCTCGACAAATTGCAAACAGACTGGTTCATCTTGTGGTTTTGAAGCTGCTCGATTGGTCCCAACTACCTTGTAGCCGCTTTCAATTATCCTCATGGATGCTGCCAGAAAGTTTCACTCCCGTAACTGAAGTATTTTTTTCTGCAATAAATTACTTCCGACATGCAGCTGCCACCTGAAGTGTGGGTTTCTGAACTTTCAAACACAATTATCTCAATTTCACTTTTCAGCATCAAATCTTGTTTCAGGAATGCTACCATTTGATAATGAAATGATGTGTGGATCGAATTTTTGAAGTTTCTGTACTGAAACTTTTGTAACGAACATACCTGGCTATGAGATTACTTTCTGCATTCTCATGGTCCTTTGTTATAAAAAAGCTGCAGTAACTTAAACCTAATGCTGGCAAATAATTTTTTTAATTTTCACATTTCTACTTTTTAATAGAAATGGTGGTCTGTCATTTTTTACGTAGCCGTGTTACAGAGATGTTATGCTTGTTCAAAAGAAGTGGCCATTATCATTACCTTTTCTAAAAGAGTTTTTCTGGGGGGGGGGGAGGGGGGGTGCATGTTCATTTGATGTGCATATATGTAACTTTTTAAAGGATATACTTATACTTTTAAAATTTTTCATGTCATCCTCTTTACCAACTATCAATATGCCCTGCAAATTTTATACGAAAAAGGCTAACGGTTAAAAAGTTTGCTTTCCTGAGTAGTACTGTCTCTTAAAAAAACACTAAACCTATGAAAAAAACTTCTATATTTTTTGGAAGGACAGGACGCCTCAAAATAAATAAATGTTTCAAAATAAATGCATATAAAAAAATGTTTTTGTTTTTGTTTTGTGCAGGGTGATTTAAGGAGACGCCAGGCTCTTTAAATCAGCCATAAAATTCGGTTTCTTAACCTATCACCCTGCGACTTTGTGCAGCGTTGCCCACAGATGATGCATTTTTTTTTGTAAAATTTGCAAAGACCGAATTTACCTGAAAAAAAGTAAAGAAAGAAAAAGGCTTAGCTCCTATGGAAATGCAGCGAAGCCACCGGTCTTCAAACAACACGGCGCCGTTTCGCACGGGATACAAGAGATGGCGCAACGGACGAGCATACGGCGCCGAGAGCCGGCGTTTTTAGCAGACAATCTTTTCGACTCAAAAGTGGCGCGCGTTCCGCTGTCAGCGACAGTCGCAGAAACAAAAACAGGCGCGGTAACAACAAAGAACTGAAGTTTCTCGTCATGGTGCCCAGTCAGGCGACACGATCGCCTTTTGCACCAAGGTACCATTTCGAGGAGTGTGTACCCCTTGAAAGAAAAAATAAACTCATTGATTGATTGAAAGTCGCCGGCTCTAAGCGTCGTATGCTCGTTTGTTGGCGGCAGTTGGCGTCGCGACCGCTTGCGCCATCTCTTGTTTCCCGTGCGAAACGGCGCCATGTTGTTTGAAGACCGGTGGCTTCGCTGCATTTCCATAGGAGCTAAGCCTTTTTCTTTCTTTACTTTTTTCTCAGGTAAGTTCGCTCTTTGCAAATTTTACCAAAAAAATGCACCATCTGTGGGCAACGCTGCACAAAGTCGTAGCGTGATAGGTTAAGAAACCGAATTTTCTGGCTGATTTAAAGAGCCTGGGGTCTCCTTGAATCACCCTGTTGTATTGATGATGCTGAACAAATTTTTCGATTTCCGGGCAAAACCGAAACTGTACTCTAGGCCAGGTTTGTATCAAACTATTTATTGTCCATTCCAACTCAAGAAAGCTTTTGCTAATCTGGGGATAATGAAAATACATAAAAATTCCAAATATAGACTTGCCAGGAAATATAAACAAGAATATACCAAGAGTAAAAGATTTTTATTTGACTTGGCTTCCGTCAGAAAAAAACCGGAAACGCATACCCTTCGTCACCCTGACCATTGGATAATAGATAGACACATCGCGTTCTGACTACGGCCTTCAGACGATTAGAAGAGCCCTGCCTCCGTTGATCAACACTTTCTCGCATTCCAATGTTGATATAGTATTTTTAACCCCACGTGAGATCCGTGAATATTTTCTTTGAAATAATGTCGTGTTAACTTTTTGTATTTGGCATGTCCATTTTCTTCATTGTTGTGTGTGGCTGATACCTAGTTGGCATTTTCGGCCCAGTGTTTTGATTTTCTTCCCTTTGTTTTCTTATTCCTGTTTTGAATTGGTGGACTTCTTTGCTTTGTACAATTTTTGAGACCGCTGTGTTCCTCTGAGGGGTCTGGGGACCAGTCAAGCTCTTTGTAAGCTTTCTTCCCCAGCTTTCACCATATAGTATACATGTATATGGTAAATAAACTATTATTATAATAAAAAAAAGTAGAGCGAGGGAAACGAGGGCTGGGGAAGAGGAGGCAGACGAAACGCAAAAGAAAGGAGGAAGTTTCCCCCTCTCCAGCATACCGTCTGCTTGCTCCTCCCCAGCCTTCCTTTCCCTCGCCCCACCTTCTTGTGTTGAAATGGGCTATAGTGTTCGCTCTGAGGCAACTCGGAGGTCCAGCAAACTCGGAGCGGACACTAGTTGGGTACAAACGCTATCATCATCATCCCACAGGGGTACAGTTTCGGTTTCGTCCGCAAACCAAAAAGTTTGTATTGTAGCATAAATATTAGTAAAAAAAATGTTTTTTGCGACAGACACATTTTGAGACATGCCTGTTCTCACCAGATAGGGTACTAGGCGCAACGTTTTTTAAAGTTGAAATGAAGTAGAATGGTGTAATTTCGTGTTTGACTTCAGCCCAATTTTAGAATGAGACAGCCCTCTTACGGTTGTCTGAAGAAATGCAATGGGCATAAAAACAGGACCGCATGGCGTTGAAGGCACACCTACATTGTGGTAAAGGTGACTATTCTCCCAGTCCAGGACTTTCTCTATCGAATGCCGCGTCTGCAAATAAGATAGATTCCGGTTTTCTATCCCGTTCCGACACAGTCTTCGAAGGTCTGTAGCCGTCTATACGCGGTCAAAAGTGTACATTGGCGCTTTAGTGTTTGCAAGATGCAATCATAAATGCGGCGTTGCAGCATCTAATTGTGTACAAGTTGGGGTCATACACCAAGCGTCTGTCAGCACCTGTTCTAGTGTGCTAACAAAAACAACAAAAAAATGTACAGCACGGGGCTTCAGAGTTTTTCCCAAGTGATAAGCATGTAGTTCTTTCAGATTTGTTTTAAACAATGTGGAAAACACGACCGAAGGATACTTGATTTTTCTTGCCACGGGCACTAGTCGAAACTTTAAAGCTACAGAGGCCAGATTCACGAAGACATTCTCAGGCTACGCAACTTAGCTATGTTCGCAAGTTGCACACATCGCAAGAAGTGCGAAAGCTAATACTTACGAACTCAAGTTGTAGACTTTTGGTGCCCTGCAGGCTACCGATGCCAGCGAGAGCGTGGTTGTTGCTATGGCGATAGTCCTTTCGGCAACACAAACAACCTATCGGGGCTCAACCCGCTTCGGAGCACGTGGATTCTGAATTACAACAAGCGCAGGTGGACTTTCCGCCAATGCTTGTCTGGAGATTGTTTCCGCGCAGTGAAATGACGACGCTATGATTTACATGGGCCCTAATGTCGAGAGAGGATGCCGGAAAACCGCCTCGGTCGAGACTGTAAACTCAATCACTACGAAGTCAACACAACTACCATCATTGCTAAAAGAAGACGGCTTGCACTGGACGTCTGCAAAAGCGGCGCACAGGGAAAAAAATTGCTGCAGCGTTTTTTCGCAGCCTCGGGGCTGTAGGAGCGAGCAGTCGTCCAACAACACACATGTGAACTACAAAAGTGTCGGCAAGAGCCATGTAAATACATATTTAATACACTGGGAAGGGACATGCGCGTGTTTGATCGAGTCGCTGGAACAGCGCTGTTGGACTGCATCTCGGTCAGCGCTTCGGGACCAATCTTTTATTTATTTATTTATTTACTGAAATACCTTAAAGATCCACTGAAAATAAAATAAATGTTTTTAAACAGTCTGGTTGAAACACGCGTGTCAAAAAACTAGCTTTACGCAAAACCAAGATACGTTTTTAGAGCAATATTGACGGTGTCACCTCCTTTCCACTTGTTTTCTCTCGGCATTTCGGGTGCATAGAGAGGTGGATCGGCTTGGCCATCACGTTAAGGTGGCGAGAGTGTATGACCATTCCGTGACGTCATGGGCTTTCCGCGCAGATTTTTAAATAAATCTCGAGCCGTCAATACTGCCCCAAAATGTATTTTTTTTTCACGTAAAATTAATTTTGTGAGACGCGTGTCCCAACCAAACTGTTCAAAAAAAACTTTTTTTTTTCTGTGGCCCTTTAAAGGTTTCTTTAAGTGGATTACATAAGACAAAAGGCACACACATTACGAGGAAAAACTGACTAAAAAGAATCAAAAGAATCAAAGCAAAAAAAATAAGAATAAATATCTAAAGCAAATCACACAGCCACCACTATTTTAAAAAAAGAAATGATAGAACATAAATTACAACATTGCTAAATAAAAGAAATATGAGTCCAAAAATATTTGGGGTTTGTTTTGGTGACAAAGGAATCGGGAAGGGCATTCCACCAAACAACATATTTTTGAAAAAGAAGAAAAGAAAAGTGAAGAGGTTTGTCAGGTGTAGTGATCAGGTTTGCACAAGTGGTTAACATGAGGCGAGGCACTGAGAAAGTGATTTTTGCGGGCCATCTCTCTACATTATGTAGAATCAACGAAAGTTTCCTTTTTCAGCAAGAGCATTTGCCGCTGCTGCCTCTGAAAACAAGGCAATGACAAGCGGAAGAGACTGACTTCTGAGCTAAAAATCGAGGTCAGAAGAAAGGGTAAAAGCACAGGCGAGCTGGTGAAGAACTTCCATCGTAAACCGGAGACACGGAAAAATAAAAAAAAACGGACAAAACAACAACAAGTCTCAAACACAGCTTCTAGTTTATTTGAACACCTCCGCTCTTATATATACACAACAACCCTCCTCTCCAAAGGTCGACACACCTCCTCTCCACTCCATCAACGACATCTCAAAATGAACCAATGACACATGCTACCTCCCTTCCTTTCATACCAACCAAAAACTGACCCCTTTCCAATCCAAGAAACAGGCACTCAAACCCTGCTAACTATGAAAACACCCCCCCCCCCCCCACAAAAAAAAAAAAAGAGATAGGTTTTACGGAACCGACCAGCCACAACTGATAACAGGCCTATCGAACAGACACGGTGTTAGCATTCAACCACCCCTCAAAAAAAAAAAAAAAAATTAAAGACATAGAAACCGTTTCAGTTCACTTCCGAAACCCAAGGACGGTGTGCTGACACAATTGCCACGCTCCAAAATACATAAAGTCTCCCTCACAACTCTCCTACCATTTTCTTTCTCTTTATGCAATACCTGGGTATCCCCCCACTCAGGCTGACAGTGATTGCAGTCTACAACATGTTTAGCTATTTCTGAATTCTGCGCATTGTCTTTTACCGCCCTTTTATGTTCCAGCAATCTATCATTCAAACAGCGACCAGTTTGGCCTACATAAGACAATCCACACCGCAACGGAATGTCGTATACAACTCCTACTTGACAAGCTAAATCAGGGTTTTGGTGTTTCTTTAGGCAACCCGGTTCCGTAAAACCTATCTCTTTTTTTTTTTTTTGTGGTTGGGGGGGGGGGGGGTGTTTTCATTGTTAGCAGGGTTTGAGTGCCTGTTTCTTGGATTGGAAAGGGGTCAGTTTTTGGTTGGTATGAAAGGAAGGGAGGTAGCATGTGTCATTGGTTCATTTTTAGATGTCGTTGATGGAGTGGAGAAGAGGTGTGTCGACCTTTGGAGAGGAGGGTTGTTGTGTATATATAAGAGCGGAGGTGTTCAAATAAACTAGAAGCTGTGTTTGAGACTTGTTGTTGTTTTGTCCGTTTTTTTATTTTTCCGTGTCTCCGGTTTACGATGGGAGGTCAGAAGTTAAACTATTTATACGGAAAAGGTCGTCAAGGGTCGCGCGGGCACATTCTATTCAGCAGACGGTCTTGGCCAGGGACAGTCGGAGCAACATAGCGTAGGAGTGCCTTGCTAGGCCTAGTGTGCCGAACTAGCCCTTGGCAGCTGCTTGGATGGCGAAATCGCTGCCGTTGTAGCTTTTTTCGGATAATTTTGGAACCAGCGTTCGTAAGATTGTTTCATAAATCTGACCTCCAGTCTATAGCAGCTTCTACGTGACTTGCACTCACGGAGAAACAAAGCGTACAGTGAAATATCACTTGAAGAAACTTGAATTGAAAAAAACCACTCAGATGAAAAAACTCAAATTCCCCAGCAAAGCCACGCTGTGCATAAAGCATTTAATGGGGTGAACTTTCACCTATGTAAACTTTTCTTTGAGGTGCCTTGAAATTTGTTCGGGTTGTATTTCACTGTATCTCCCGAGATTCGACATGGCGGGGATCGAAGCACAATAGACCTTATTTTTCCTGGTGAAGTCGTGCAGAACTTTGAGGGCTGTGTTGCGAGACTCAAAGATGGTGACACGTCTGTGCTGTCTTAGTGTTCCTACGTTGTGCCAAATTGACTCTACAAAGGAAAAGGAGATGAAAAACAAAGAACTGCAGCCTGCACTAGAGCCTTGTTTCTCAGACCTGTTGAGAACATTCGTTACGAGAAGCGATAGAAGCATCGCTATCATCAAGGACCATTGCTTCCCATTTTGGATAAGTGGCACCAAAAATAGAGAAATCTGCACTCTGTAGGTGGCACAACCTGTTGCCCAATGAAAAAGGTTCAGGCTAAATTTATTTTTATTTTTTGGGCTCCTGTGAAACTGCACCGAACAAATCTTTCCAGTATGCCTATGCTCCTACAGGGTGCAGCCATAGGGATCAACACATTGGCATGCATTGCAAAATTTCAAATTCTTGCATACCCGCGATTGGGACGCGAACATAGTCTCTCAAGATGTATGTCTCTTTTTTCAAAGCTTAAGTCAGGGATGGTAATATATTAAAATTAAAGCACAAACGACGGCTGTGCATTTCCTATGGCCTATACAAGATGTTTGTTGTCTGCACACTGGTTTGTGAGCTTTCCCACAGGTGGTCTTTATTCATCATATATTGTTAAAAAGTATTAATTAACGCGATTATCTCGCACATCGCCAGCCTCTACTATTGGCTCTTAGTGTTTTTGCGTACAGCGAGCCATGCGGGAGCGAACTCGTAAACCAGTTTGGAGACGACAAACAGGCTTTTATAGGAAAAAAAAAATACACGGCCACTGGTTTCGCTTTATTTCTTACATTTCACATCCTCCAAGTTGGGCTCTGAAAAGAAGACATAAAACTTCTTGCTAAACTATGCTTTCGTGCCCAATTTCACGCATGCATGTTTGGAATTCGAATTTTGCAAGGCGTGCCAAATGTGTCGGTCCTTACTGCCCCACCCTGTACATACACCCTCTCACCTCGCCTTGCTTCCCGCTGTCGTTCTCTTCGAAGGGCAACGTCTCGCACGACCAACGTGATCAGAACCCGTATTTGCGCTTATTTAGCCTTTTTCGGCGACTCTCTTTTAAGCAATGGTAGTATGCAGCATAAATATCAATAAAAACCGATACAATGCCAGCACGTTTTGACGGGCGGATGCTATGTTGGGCTGCACTTCGTTTGAAGTTCACAGGCAATCTTCTAGACTGTGCTTGTTACTTGAAAAGGGTTCATTACTACAGTGGAATCTCGTTAATTTAAAGCCTCTATATTCAAACTCGTGGATAATTCAATCTAACATGCAGGTCCCGTCCCATGAGTTATAAGGAAGGAAACTCCCAGTAGTTCAAACTTTGCATTATTCAAAGAACGTTTTGGTCCCCTTTGGGTTCAAATTATAGAGATTCCACTGTACTTCCTCCTAGCGCTTGGGCTAGATGCTCCCAAAGAGAACTTGGGGAAAAGATAAACGTTGGGGAGGGAGCTCAGTGTTCGAGAAGACGAACGACTCACCCGTTTGCTCAAGCAGACGACGGGCCAGAGCGAGCATCCGAGGGTACAGCAACAATACAGGCAGCCGCAGAAAAGCCACTTGACGTTCACGGGTAGAGTCCTGCGCAGGACGCTGTTGATGCGCACCATGGTAGCTTTGAATTCTTCTGGAGCCACCTGCGGTAATTTTGCAGCTGGTTAAATTACAGCTACCACAGCACGCCACCTCGCACGAGAAACAACTTTCGGCCCTACGTGTAAACGAGGGTGGCGCCATTTCCCATCGACTATGGTGGATGAAAAGTATGGGTCCGGCAACGGCATCTGCTCATAGTGCCCATTTGTTTCGCCTGCTCAGTTAGAGCCACTTGCTTGCCTCGTATTCTGCCCAACATCTTTTAATGCACATTCCTAAAACTCGTTACAGACTTCACGAATGCAAACCTCTATACACGTGAACTACTTCCTGTGTCATTTCAGAAGTGAAGAGCGCTCGTGCACGGCTCTGATATTCGAGCGCCCATGGGCCGAAAACTTTGACCGCATAGCCACAGCAAGGTGTCCTTGAGTATATACTCTGTTGCAGGTTAAGAAAAGCAAGACAAGCTTCGCCCAAAAAGCCCTGCAATCATTCTACTTTAGCAGAGTGAATGCCAAAGAGGAAGAGAGCTCACCTGCCTCCTCTCCAGTGTTTGATCTGTTAAAACCGAAAGAATGTAGGGCTTTGCAGGCAGAGCTTTTCTCGCTTTACTTAGCCAGCAATAGAGTGTACACCTAGTGATCGGTTTGCCTTGCTGCATGCCCTACCCGGAGAAAGAACACGGAGCAAAACGGTTTCAACAACAAGAGACTACATTTAATTGGACGTGGACGGGACGAGGAAGAATACTAACAGAAAACCAACGAGCACTGGTGGTGCTTCATTCCAGCCAGCGACTCGCTGACGGTCATCACAGTCCATGGGAGCAGTGAGGCCACGGCACAAATTCCATCGGTACGTCGAATCTAGCCGGAGGCCAACATAATGGAACCGCGCGCGACGATTTCACTGCTTCATGTTCCCATTGCCATGCTTTAGGATTCTGGGGCCGCCATATCGCTTATAGGTGATTCCTAGGCAAAGCATAGGAGACGAGCCTCCAGGAATGCAAAGACCCGTTTGCAGCTAGCTTCTGGCACAGCGATAACAGCTGCAGGAGCCGTGAGGCTGCGGACTCTGTTTAATGGAAAGAAGCGGCGTCAGCGATTTCTTTATCTGCCAGGACTCGCGGCACCCGTGATAGTGGGCCTAGATTTTATTACAGGCGAAAGCAGGACACTCGACTTTTGTAGAGGGAAATACCGGTCGGGACAGCAACCGGAACTGACTATGTGTTATTCCTCCGGGTCGGGCATGCCCAGCCAGGGCAAACCAAACACAACCTTTCCGAAATAACGCTCCTAGGCCGCCACCATGCTGCTGATGATGAAAGCGTCTGGTGCGATTCCCGCATGCCCTAATAGTTTTTCTGCCACTCTCCTGGATTGTTGAAACCTGCACAGTGCGATCCCCCACTTATGTTTTGCGGTTTCGCATAGAAAGATTTCCAGCCTCTCTTGGAAGTTTCTGCTTTATTTTCCTTGAGCATGCTCCGTGCCCTTTCTCTCTTGTCTTCCCCCGTTAAAATGACGCTGGTAAGCGCACACCATTTCAGCGGTTCTGCTCGACATTCACAAGAAACAAAGCAAGAAAAGAACATCGAACGGTCCACGACACAATTCTTCAAACAAGGACAACTGTTCTTTCAAGTCCCAGAGATAATCTGCGTAGAGGTTTATCTTGGGGACTGGAGAGAACAGTTGTCTCTCTGCGCAAAAAATTTTCCAAAAGCTGGGATTCATGATTAAAAACAAATACCTCCGACTTGCATAACAATATCAACATATATCAGACGTTTCGTCTCCTATACGGGAGACATCATCAGTGCGGCTTGGGAACACCCGACTAGCTACCAGAAATTCAACGCTTCTTCTTCCTTCTCTTCATCCGTAGCGCTGGTTCTGCCGACTTCTTCGTCCATGGCATACGGGAGACATTATCATCGTCTGCCCTTGCTTCAACTTCTTTTTACGTCCGTCCTGGATGGTAAGTTAAATGACAAGTTATTTCAGGATGTCGGTGTATACGTCGGGGAGGGGGCCGCGGTTAGAATTGCAGGCGGATGGGTCACTGCGAATACACCATGATTCCAGAAATCTTCTGGGGCCCCACCGTTGTTCGCGTGCCAGGGTCACAGCGTTCGCCAGGTCAAAAGTGTGACCAGTCGTCCAACAATGGTCCACCAGTTCAGTTTTTGATCTTGTGGCATGTGTTGCCTTCTCCAGTCTCTTTTGTGCTCTTTGAGGCGGGTACTCCGTTTGCGGCCAGTTTCTCCGATGTAACACTTGTCACAGTCCTGACAGTTCACTTTGTATACAACACCACTTTGAGATTCAGGAGGGGTTCCAGATCAAAAACTGAACTGGTAGACCATTGTTGGACGACTGGTCACACTTTTGACCTGGCGAACGCTGTGACCCTGGCACGCGAACAACGGTGGGGCCCCAGAAGATTTCTGGAATCATGGTGTATTCGCAGTGACCCATCCGCCTGCAATTCTAACCGCGGCCCCCTCCCCGACGTATACACCGACATCCTGAAATAACTTGTCATTTAACTTACCATTCAGGACGGACGTAAAAAGAAGTTGAAGCAAGGGCAGACGATGATAATGTCTCCCGTATGCCATGGACGAAGAAGTCGGCAGAACCAGCGCTACGGATGAAGAGAAGGAAGAAGAAGCGTTGAATTTCTGGTAGCTAGTCGGGTGTTCCCAGGCCGCACTGATGATGTCTCCCGTATAGGAGACGAAACGTCTGATAAATGTTGATATTGTTATGCAAGTCGGAGGTATTTGTTTTAATTGTCTCTCTGCTTGGTGCTGGTATTGTGAAAAAAAAAAGGAAGCTTTCCCCAAAACCAGGTCCTTTTGGATTACGGCCGACTGTAGAGGCGCGACTGTCGTCGACACTGCTGTGTCGCGTTATTAGAGTGCAGCTCTTAGGGGCCCGTTCCCGGCTTGAGCGGCGTCGGCGTCGGCGTAGGCGTAACCAAAGTCACCCCAAGGTCACCCCAAGGTCACGTGGTCACGTGACCCCCAGAGGTTACGTGACACCCAAAGACAGGTGACCCCCGAAGTCACGTGACACCACCCCCGAGGTCACGTGACCTCCCCGATGACGTCATCGTCACTGATGACGTCACCGGCATCCGCATCGTCATCGTCATCATCACCGATGACGTTATCAGTGAGGTCACTGATGACCTCACCGGCATCCGTATCGTCATCGTCATCATCACTGATGACGTCATCAGTGACGTCACTGATGACGTCACCGGCATCCGCATCGGCATCGTCATCATCACGAATGACGTCATCAGTGACGTCACTGATGACGTCACTGACATCCGCATCGTCATCGTCATCATCGCTGATGACGTCATCGGAGTCCGCATAGTTATCGTCACTGATGATGTCATCAGTGACGTCACTGATGACATCATCGGCATCTTCACGTGACCCCCCAAGGTCACGTGACCCCCCCCCCCCAGTACCCTCCCTCCTCCTCCTCAAGAGCTGCGCTCTAATTCGGCGTTACAGGGATTTGTAAACGGCTTTCACTTTTTTTATATCTTTCTCAGATAAATCCTTTTCGAATAATGGTGTACCGTGTGGTATGCGCAATATATTGTTTGAATGTTGACGCTTTCTAAGTTTGATGTCAGAGTCGTGCCGTGTAGATTGGTATCACATCATTTGTGCGCGTCAAATATGCGTGCCTTTCGGCCACCTTCTGTTGTCAATGATTTTCGACAGCTTTGTCGACTGACACTGCCGAGCAGGCGGCGCCAGCAAAACTCGTCGTAAGACAAAACAAACATACCAGCCACATTTGTTTGGTCGTGCACGTACCCAACAAAGATAGTAACCAGTTTCCTTTTTGTTTTAAATGCGGCAGAATGCTTCTTCAATGTCTTTGGGAAAGTACATACAGCATTAAATTAAAAACAAAACAGTGGAAAAAGGCGAGAGTTGAGCTGCCAGCTGTGTCTGAAGTTGCACCTACGCAGCCTGCACCTATTGAGATTAACGGTCAACTCAAATAGGGTTAGCGGGGACGCCGGTAAAAGACTAGCTCCAAACGCACTGAACAGTCTCACTGGGCCTGTTAAAGATTGTTTTCCTAGACAGGAACAGTTATCTCTCAGTGATAGTAGGCAGTTATTATTAATTAAAACTAAAGTTAGGAAAAAACTGGTGCAAGCCTCGCTCAAGGTTGCATTCATAGACAATACAGAATGATTGTTTGCACACAGGAGCTTCTGCAAGCCAGCAAAATGTATCACAGCCTATAATCAAGTTGGTTTGGCCATAAATGGACCAAAGTATGTTAGCGAGAAAAAGCAATTTTACAACAATTGAGCCAGCAAAATTTCATGGCCCCACCTTGTGCGTCACCATATCACAGCCAGATTTGTGTTTAAATCTCAACCTTTTTTTCTTAAGACTAGCATATCCCTAAAAGTGCCTATTTCAAGATAACCACCGCGATTAAGGGTTGTCAGTGATTGGGTGCGGATTTCGGAGAGGGTATTTACCTTAGCAGATAGCGTTGGCGGGAATTCCGTGTCGAATTTATTGCTCAGGCCAAACCTGAAAGCACAAGAAAGCCACATTTCTAAACAAACTGCCTCCTTTTCAAAGATATCCATTGGACAATGGGATCGGTCCCACGCGTGGACCGCATAACACGTTGAAGATAATGAAGATGTGATTGTTGTGACATGACAAGAGACCTGTCAAATGATGTGCGTACACCCCTCCCCGCTTGGGTATGCAAATATATTGTAAATCATATAAATAATTGAGCGAGGCACGGCTTCGCATTTAAAAGATACCATGGTTTGCACCAAGGGTTTGAAAAGCACAACGATACGGGGGAACGATCAACACTGGAAAACATACATAGGAACACTTAGAAGTTGTCAGCTCAATGGTGACTTTTTTTTTAAACAGAAGGTACAACTGGTCACTGCTGCAGTGTGTTTTGCTTTGTCCCGTACCACGGCATCCTGTTACTCCGGGAGTAGAGTCAATGAAGAAGCTTATTATGTGGATCTGGGTGTCTACAAATTATTACTTTGAACTTCCCTGACAATTTCAGGTGAAATTTCCTAACCACTGTAAAGGCGGTTAAATATATAAGCCCATTACAACACAAGGCATTGAGCACTGAGCACTGTGAGAATCATTTTGCACGGGCTTAATCCAACTTGCATATTCCGAAATATTCGGGTTCGTCTAGTCCGGATTAAATGAGCACTTTCTTGCTGCCAGCATCGTAAGTAAAGAGGCCGCTTTCGGAGACACGATGAAAACACAACGCTCAACTACACATGTCAATAACCGAATGGCAGCATGGTCACCAGATGCACACTTTTGGATACTTTTGTCGTAAAGCTTAGGTTGGGGTGTGCGGCTTTCCCCATTTGTTAGTAACTCTAGTAGCCCTAGCTGGGTCTAGTCTAGTGTCACGCCCTCAATCCAATCCAATGCTTGGACTGAATTTGTCGGCTGTTCCCTTTGCATCGGGTAGCACACTCTACATCGGGCGAGCAGCGCCTGCGCTGTGCTCTAAGCAGAATTTATTGTCCATTTTTCTTCCACCAAGTCCGCAAGTCTTTGCTCAGGGCACTGGATGGCGTTTCCGGCTTATTTTCCCTGACTGGGCTCGATTTTTGACAATGTCCCTTACAATTCCGAGTAGTGCCTCCATGTCACACCACTCAAGAACAGTCGACTAAAGGAACTTAGTTGTAATGAACCAATGCATAGCATATAAAAGGGAAGTATTAATAAAAATCTTTATTGGCTCATCAGAGAGCCACACGAAGGCAACAGTCCAAACTATGGGGACAAGAACGACGGGGCGTCTGTTTCAAATGCCCCTGCTCCAGCATGCACTGTGCTGGGGCTGCGCGCTGCAGGCTTTCAAGACGCCGAAGCGGTATCAAAAGTAGGAAGCCATCATTCTCATCTTGTCAGACTGCAACAACTGTGTTCATATGTGGTGATACAATATGCTACATAAGGAAAGCACTGTCATACAAATACAAATCGCACGAACACTCGCAGGCAGGAGATTTTGTGCCAGTATGGAGAGGTGAACGGTAAAGGGGGCAATCATGGTCGAATCGAGAAAAGCAAAGACGGCTTTTACAAATAAACCATGCATCGCAAAAAGCTGAACCGTAGTGAGAATCCGATGCTAGCGGTGGTGATAAAATGTGAAAGTGTGAGCGCATGAAGTTACCTGGATCAAAAGACACACACAAAAAGAAAAAGACTTCTCAATGAGCCGACATCTACTTGAGCCTAATATTCATCGAGCAGTAATTTGAGATTATGGGCGCCTGTAGCCTTTATTTCAGTGAAAGAAACTGGGGGCTATGTGCCACAAATATTTCGTTTCTCCTAAAAAGAAACGGAAGTGACGGAGCTGACAACATGGCGTCTGATTGGTTAGAGGCTCAAAGGACTAAAGTTCTTTCTTTCGTGATTTGAGCCTCTAAACAATCAGACGCCATGATGCCAATTCAGTCACTTCTGTTTCTTTTTAGTAGAAACGAAACATTTGTCAAAGATAGCCCCCCTGGCCACTTAGAAAGACAATACTGTCTTCTTTCATGCTGACAAGTTTCTTCACTGACATATTGCTGCAAGCACTGGCAGTCTGAAATTTGAATTTGGTGAAAGTTTGGCTCAGGTAAACGTCGACCCATAGAATTTTTTTTCTGTAGTATGGCAACATTATGCGCTCAAACTTTCGCATTTTATCTTTACCGCAAGCGTCAGAATCTCACGGAGTTTCAGCCGCCTTCTGCGAAGCGTACTTTACCTATGAGAGCTAAAAAGCCGGGTTTACCTTTCACGATCGGACTTCGTAGATCAGCCGATCGATAATGAAAACAAAATTCCGGATCGACGAGCTGTTTAATGGTCGTGACGTGTGCGAGACGTAAAGAGGAACGGCGCGACACCACAACAAACACGTGGGTGAGGCTGAATCGATGCTGGAAAAAGACCTCCCCTCCATTTCCCCACACACGCACGCCGTTACTATCTGGAAAAAGTTGCGGCACGCCAACAAAACACACTGGGCGATATCGTTCCCTTTGTTTGCCGTAACTACCACGAAAAATGCACAAACAAACAAAAAGCGCGTCGCTGGCAGCTCTCGCCACCTGCCTCTGTGCGTTTGGAGGGGATAAAAACCCAACGTTGTTTGTGTCGCTATTTATTTTCAAAGCGACCTGACGTTCAGAGACGCTGTCGGTCATACCGCGGAGGTCTTTTCCTTCTTTCGTAAGCAAGCACCGAAGCATGGTTTAAAAATGGACCATAGAAGTGCTCGCGCGAGCGCATGCATGCACGGTGGGGGGTGAAGAACTCTTGCAGCGTGTGACGTTGAGGCAGGTGGAGTATGCGCTAGCTCGTCCGGAGGAGATTGACCGGTACTCACACTGTCATGTTTCCGGCGCCTCGTATGACCATCGGTTCGGGTACGAGGCTCACCAACGAATCTTCGTTGGCCCTCAGGTCTTCGTCGTCCTCTTCGTAGATCGCGTCGAGATCTGCCATGTTTGACTATGGCGACGCCGCCATCCGGCTTCAGGGTCACGGGCACGCACTCGTCGCTCTCCTGCTTCCGTCTGTGCGCGAGAAGTAACCGTGGTACGCCCTAATGCGACTTCAAGCGAGTCATGGCACCGCACGAGTCATAACAAAAGCGCTTAGGGTTCGTTCAGCTGTTGTGAGGATCTCTGCCAGTCTCTGTTTCGCTCTTCCCTGTTCCTCTGTGATAGCTTCTTGCTTCTCTCACAGGTGACGGCAATAAAAAACATGTTTAAATATAATAATATTATTGGCAGATGGCGCGATAAGCCTTCTAATTAAAACTAAGATTGTTTTGTACATATATAAATGTTTCTGTCACGTGATTTGTTTGAGTGCGTTCTTTTACTTAAAGGGACCATGAAATGACCTTTTTACTTTTTCCAGATAACTTTTAAATTAAACCGTCAATGCTCACTGAATGCCGAACAGGCATCCGTCTTCTTCTCGGTTTATTAACTTCTACACAAAAAATTATTGAAATATCGACTTTTTCATTCTCTCCAACTGACCGCAAAACTAGCCGTGACGTAGGCCGTTTCCGGAACCGGAAGTTCTCTCGGCAGTAGGAGAATGGGAGTGTTAGCGGCAACGAGTTGGGGTGCGCCGGTAGGTTTTACTATTGGGCTGATGTCACCGACGTATTTCCTGAATCGGCGCCTCTCATCGCAGCTGAGCGAAATTCAATGAGATATGTTGCGCTACAGCGACAGCATGGGACTAGTCCCATACGCCGGTTTGCCTGTTGGGAAGTGCAGCGAGTCTTCCGATGAAGACTCCAGAAGTCAACCACCCTGTCATTGTTGGCAGAAGGGCCGGCCCGTGTCAGTCGTTTGCAAAGCGACGTAGATGGCGTTTTTCGTGGCCTCGGATATGCAGGAGCGAGCCGACGTTAAAAAAGATACGTTTGAACTACGAGTATCAGCAAGAGCCACGTAAATACCTGTTTACACTCAGAGCGGACGCGCGCGCTTGATGGAAGTGCTGTATTCGCGCTGTTTAATAAGCGCTTCGGGACCGTTCTTTTACGATTGCAACTCGATACTGACGCGACACTCGGCAAAGAAAGGTTGGACCGGGTTTGTACGTATACCTCCCACGAACTGTTATAGCTCGACAGTGACGTGGAGTCTGTCAAAATAAAAAATGGCATACCAATAACAAAGTGTAGTACATACCGTGTTACGAAGGTAATCCATACGGCGTTTATTTCGGCTCTATATCACACAAAACAAGAAGATAGAATCGACGAGTGTTCGTCAACGCTGCCTCGGAAAACAAGGGGAAGAGATTGACCTCACCTCTTAATCTAGAATTGAGGTCAGCGATCAAAATATAATACGGGAAGGGTCCACAAGGGTCGCGCGGGCATATTCCATTTAGCACGCCAGCCGGTCGTAGGCAGACGGTCTTGCGACGAAGCAACGCAGCGCCGAGTCGGAATGCCAGCTATGCCTATGTTCTGAGCAGCTCGCTTCGTCGGAGTCGGTGGATCCAGCGTTCTTGTTCGTCGTGGTCTGTTTTAAGTACTGCTTTCTTGCTGCTTGAAGTCGGCACGCGCGGGAAGAACACGTAGAAAAATAAACGTTCAGTCAGTCAGAGTTTTGAGAGGAAGGAAAACAAAGAAAATAAATGTTCGTCGGTCGCCATCAATGGTCGCCGTCACCCAAGTAACTGTCGGCCCTGCCCTACTGCCTACGCGCAGTAGTTGCTTCGTTTACCACACGATAGATGGCGCTTGGCTCTCAGCATTATCAAATTTGGCAATTTTCGCCACACATCTCTAATTATGCTACAAAATGTGGATCTGAATATTATTTAACAAAACTTTTAGGAAACATTCGCCGGCTATTTATAGTTTACGATCGCGGTGCTGGTGAGGTAGGCTCTTACCCAATAGGCGACCTGGATTCGGCTGACGTGCTCCATTTCCGCGGATGCATCGTAGTGAACAGGCGAAGGAAGGAAGGCGCAAAAGAGTCCAGTTTTCTTTTAAAAGTTCTATAGCAAATAATTTTTTTTGGCTCCCTATTTTCGTGTTTCTTTTCACACCTTTTACGACGTGCGGTGGATGAAACTCGATTTTAAAATCATTTCATGGTCCCTTTAAAGGGACCATGAAATGACCTTTTTACTTTTTCCAGATAACTTTTACATTAAACCGTCAATGTTCACTGAATGCCGAACAGGCATCCGTTTTCGTCTCGGTTTATTAACTTCTACACAAAAAATTATTGAAATATCGACTTTTTCATTCTCTCCAACTGACCGCAAAAGAAGCCGTGACGTAGGCCGTTTCCGGAACCGGAAGTTCTCTCGGCAGTAGGAGAATGGGAGTGTTAGCGGCAACGAGTTGGGGTGCGCCGGTAGGTTTTATTGCGCTGATGTCACCGACGGACCCTAGTAGCACCATATGTTGCCATAACGTGACTGGAATGTCACAAATGTAATGTAACGTTGGGGCACATTTGGGTATGTTATAGCAATGTTTGAAAACTAACGTAACAGAAACGTTCTCCTGTAACATTGTTTGACTGTCACTGAACGTCATGTAACGTTGCATCACATAGGCAAACGTTCCAGGAATGTTAGAGAAGCAACATTGGAGCAACGTTTAGAAATAACCTCTTGGTAACATTTCCATTTGACATACGGGCAATGTTATGCAGCGATGTTGGCCTAATGTGACGAAATGTGACGGATCACCACATCACACAGAGGCTGGTCAGGGACACACGAAGATACCAAACTTATAATAGTTCAATGTTGATTCTCTTGTTCAAACATTTTTATTTTTTTACAAACAGAAAGACCGCTCTAATGCTTGTGACGGGCGTGTTTGAAACAAATGTTCAAAATGTACCCTGGAAAGATTGCAGAAAATTAAAAAAATATCTGTCCAAAAGGTTTATGATAAAATTGAATTCATTTGTGTGTATGGCATTTCCTTGCTTCCTTCCTGCCCCTTAACGGGTTGGCGAGTCTGCTCAATATTCACGAGCTAGCATGCACCCTCATCATAGCTTTTAGGTTAAGGTCATTCGAATGTCCAGCTTTTGGAACGCATGCTAAAGATAACAAGAGGGTGAGGTCATGGGGTGTTATTGTTATCAAAGGTGGAAAACTCACGCTGGTGACGCGACGACCCAAAGACCTCCCGAACATGTATAGAATGGCATGAGAGTCGTAGCCTGTAAATTAATTTGGAACACGTAGCTAGCTAAAATTATCACCAAAAGTGTATTTTAGTTGTGTGCTCTATTGTGTTATTTTCGAAGCGCAGCTTTGTTTCTGTGAAAAATACGAACATGATTACCCTACGGCCAGGTCGCAGAGAGCTCTTGGGGTCGAGCGACTGCTCTATCCGACCCGAGCTTGCTGCAAAATGATTTCTACTATTTAAAATAGAAGCGAGGACTAATTTCACCATGGACTCAGGTCAAATCGAGCGACTGGGTGGTTCTTACTCTCGCCCTGTCTCGGTTGTCTGCGCCAGTGCTTGCCATAGAGATTTAGAGAAATCTTGGAGCGTGCAGTATAAGATACACCCTGGTTGAAAATTTGAAATAGTTACATGCAGAAGCTCATATTTCAATCCAATTTACAGCTCAGCACTCTATTCGGAAAACTCAAAAAGTGGCGGCTCATTGCAGCACACTGCAAGTGAGACGACTGGCGGTAGCCATTGTCTCATAGACAGAGGAGGGGAAAAGGGAGACGGTTGAGGGGGAAGGTGAGCGATGAGATGGGAAGGAGAATAGAGGCAGGAAGAAAGGGGTCAAGTATGAAGGTCGAAGGCCAAAAACACGCTCACACAAGGAAGAGAGGAGACAAAAGGAAAAGGGGAATGAGGATGAGAGGCTGAGGGAGCATGAAGAGAAAGATGAAGAGAAGTGGGGCAGGGAGGAGCAAGATCAGACGGAGGAGAGAGGAAAGAGGGGAGGAAGAGCGCACAGAGGGAATATGAGACCAATGGGGAGAAGGAGTGGAGGGGAATGAGGAGATGGGACGGGGTGGGGCCAGGTCCCTATTGAAAATAATTCTAAAGGGCCCATCAGCCTTGAAGGATTATGGGACCGCACAGGCCTTCAAAACCCTTCAAAAATACCCTTCAGATATACCCCTCAGAAAAAACCCTCCAGCCCCACAGCCCTTCAACCCCAACCCCTTAGCCCACCAACCCTTTAGACGCCCAAATGACTGTGAACCATAGACAAAAATTCAGTTCAAAACGTTATTGAAAATTTATTGCGGACATTGAGTTTTACATGCGTATTAACACTCAAAAAGACAATAAAAACCAACGCTTGTTCAAACCCGGGCGCAAGCAGCTGTCGACGAAAGAGATGATATAAAATAGGAACAACTAACTTCTTTATCACAACGAAAAATATATTTCAAAGTACTCACAATGCCGTTGGGTAAATTCTTGATGTACGGTAGTTCAGCTAATAAAACGGAGCAGGTGCACCTCACGTACACATACACAGTCTCAGTAAGCACGTTTAGCGAAAACCACGAACTCGCAAGCAGATCCCGTCACCGTTGAGAAATTCCGAGCACAGTCACGGTTTCGTCCACGATGTCGTCGGGGCGGCGTCTTCGGCGTATTTTTCGCTCGCTGTATTGTTCTGAGGCCGGTCGGACGAAGAGGCGCAAAGAACAAGGCGGGAGAGCGGCCGTCATCCGCCGTCTCAGGACCCACAGTGCCATGATCCCGGTGCGTAGGCACTACATGCGGTTGAACGCTGATCCCGACTGTCAGGCTTGCTGCGAGTAGGCCGACACCGGCCACCATCTCCTTGAATGCGCTGAACACGATGGTGCTCGAGCGGTGCTGAAGGCGGCCAACGCCGAACTGGGGTTCACCTGCGGAACCAAGGAAGAAACGGCACAGATTAAAACAGACCAAGGGGCGAGCCCTCAAAGCAGCGCTTACCTTTCTGGATGTAGGAAACGGTGCGTTCCAGATCTCCATGGCGGTGAGAAACAAACCGCCCATGAGCGGAAAGAAAA